AGCTGCCTTGAGACAGGGCAGCCTCAGGGCTCAGCAGTGACCCCAGGATCCTGCCTACAGCACATGGGCCACCCCTGGGTCTCTAGCAGTCGTGCACTGGTGCAAATCAAGCCTCCCAGAGCAGCAGGGCCCAGCAACTAGGCTGTGACTGAGAGCCAGGCCCTCACATCCTGCCCCCAATGGCTCTCCCCACCAGCCAGTCTCAGCCCCTGCCCTCCCCCTGACAGCCCGTCCCCCTAACTCCTCTACTAGCCCCTTCCTTGGATCCCAGAGCTGGGGGGGAACCCAGGAGTCCTGGCTCCCAGCCCCCTCCCCCACCCTGCAGTGTCCTATATGGGCCAGGCAGAGTGGGGATTTCACACAGGAAGGGGGAGGTGTCAGCAGCTTCCTCAAATTGGAGGGGGGGGAGTAGTAGAGCTGGAATCATCTGTGCTGGGGCCATGAGCCTGGAGCTGCTGCTGCTACCCCTGATGTGGGGTGAGTGACCGGGGCAGCCACGCGCGGGGGCTGCCAGAACTGGGGGTGCACCCTTGCCCCTGGTGGGACCCAAACAGCTGGGGGGCATGGAGTGGGAATGGGGTAGTATGACCCTGCACCCCCTGTCCCAGCCCCTGAGCACTGCAACCCCAGCCCAGGCCACTGGCTCTGGACAGTGCTGGGGGCAGGCTGGAGAGCTCTTTGCATGAGGGGGCCCCAGAGCCAAGATGCACAGGGCTGGGAGGTCCCCTTGTCACCGAGTTGTGGGGGAGTCCCCAGGCCCTGCAACCCCATCCGCAGCCAGACATGATTCTCAGCTGGCAGCTAGAAGAGAAGGTTTATCAGGTGACAGGGACACAGGGAGGCGCAGACTTGTCAGCACAGGAACCAGAAGTGGCCAGCACCGTTCACCTGGGGAGAGGGGGGCCAGAGACAGGGCGCTGGTCCTGCCCCATCAGCCATTACACTGACCCACTCCCAGCTCCTGGTCCCATCCCCTCAGCAAGGCTCCAATGCCAGCAGCTTTGTCCTGCTCCCTGGACAAAACGTCACCTGGCCACAAGCCCTCCCTGCTCTGATCATGAAGGGTATCAGCCATTGCGAACATGCCAGAGCTAGGGCAGCCTAGTGAGTCACACCCACAATTCCCATCACCACATAGGTATTGGTGCAGTGTCCTTGGGAAACTGAGGCACACAGTGGCATGCACATGCACCATAACAAGGTGACTACCCCTCCCCCCCCTGGGTTGTCACATTCCTCTGCGCCCCGTGGGCTGTGGGCCGCACACAGCCCTGCGGCCCGGCATGCATGCCCTGGGAGGGCTGCGCTTGGCTGCAGGAGGCTCTGTGGCGTCACTACTGCACAGACACTGGGGCGGTGCTGGAGGTGCTCTAAGGGGCAGCACAACCTGCCTGGCCTGGCTGGTTCAGCCCAGCAAACCCAGCATCACAGCAGGGCTTAGCCTCACTCGCCAGCTCTCAGCCTCTGCAGAGCGCCCCCCCCCCCCGGGATCAGGTGCGTCCTGCACCGCCCAAGTTCACCGCCTGACAATGCCCGACCGGCTGGATCCGGCATCCCAGCCACGCCAGCACCCAACAAGGGCTGGTCCCTTCTCACTAGCAGGCCCATCCCTGGAGTAATGGCACTGCTGGTGCCTCCTGGGGCTGGGACCAGGGCAGCCCTGGGAGCTTGCACCGGTCACTGCTGGAAAAGAAGGAGAGTCTCTAGCATCCTCTGCAGCCCCGGGTGGGAACTGTTGATGGGGCGCAGTGACAGGAGCATCTTACCGTCTGGAGCAGCCCGAGATCCTGGCGGCACCGACCGGGGGCTCCATCACCCTGCCCTGCACGTTAATCTACCCCCCCGAGATCGAGCTGCTGCGGGAGGTCCGGGTTTACTGGAGGCGAGGGGGTTTCCATGGCGATTTCGTGTACAATCACACTGAGGGGTTCACCCGCTGGGATTACCGGGGCCGCATCGCACTGGTCGGGAACCCGGGGGAGAGACCGAAGCGAACGGCCTCGATCCGCATCGACCGGCTGCAGGCGTCGGACACCAGCGAATATGTCTGCCAAGTCTGCGTGCAGTTGCAGAACGGCACATGGATCCCCTGGCGCGCTCTGCCAGGAACCCGCCTCACAGTGACAGGTGGGGGTGAACGCAGTGGGCAGGGCACCGGGAAAGCAAGCTGCTACCAGGCAGAGACTCTCATATCCAGAGCAAAGTGTGGGGGAGAGGGGGGACAGGGTGCCCCACTTCCTGGGGTCAGTGGGAGGGAACAGAGTGCACCATTTCCAGGGAGCAGTGGGGGACAACAGGGCCCCCACAGCCAGGGTGGCTGGAGGAAGCAGTCTCTGCACCCTTCACGCTGGGCTCAAGGGAGTTTGGGGAGGACAGAGTTTGCCAGGGCACCCCACACTTACTGTCCCCCACTTCCTCCCCAGAAGCAGCTCCCAGCCCCATGCCTAGGACGTGGCACCCAGCACTGGCAACGCAGGACACGAGGAGTGCAGAGAGAAACAGCACTGGACACCTGGACACCACTCACCTCGCCCTCATTGGCCTGGCCTCCACACTTTCCAAGATCGGCATCTGCATCGCGGTCTTTGCCCTCTGCCAGTGGCTGGGCTGGGCTGGGCTCCAGGCCTCAGGAGCAGGAGGCCGGCACGGAGCGACCCACCAGGGGAACGGGATTTGAATGTGCCTCCTTGGCACACAGCTCACGGCCAAGCGTCCCCGGGGAATGATGCCAGCCAGCAGCGGTAAAATGGCTGTTATCCTTCAGGGATACGCCCCCTCGCGATAGAGGAGTGTGTGTGGGGATAGATAGATAGATAGATAGATAGATAGATAGATAGATAGATAGATAGATAGATAGATAGATAGATTGGATGGATGGATGGATGGATGGATGATGGGAGGTGTATGAGGACAGGTAGCTAGACAGGGCTTGGGAACCTCTCACAATGCCTGCAGGGCACAGGGACCTGGGTTACCCGCATGGCGCCCTGCACTCCCCCGCATTGCTGCTGTTACCCAATAAAGTGTCGCGGCCAAGGAGCCAGTCAGCCCCTGTTTAACTGTAAGGACTACAGGGCCAGTGCGGCTTGGCCAGGTGGTGGTGCGGGGGTGGAGGTGGGCTGGGAGCTGTCCACAGACGGACGCAAAGCATAGACAGGCTCTGGGCCGGAGCTGCAGGGAACCACAGTGCCATTGATGCGCCCATGGTGTGAAATTGGCCACCGGGACCGGATGAGAAACAACACCCCTCCCCCCGCTCAGCAGCGTCCTCACGCCCGGAGCCAGGGCAGGAAACCACCGTGGCAGAGGCTGTGCTCTGCAAGGACCCAGGTGTTCGGGGAGCTGAGGGGGAAGGGCAGCTGGCAGCAGCCCTACACAAGCCTTCTGGGGTGAAAGCTTCACCCAGGGGCTCAGCCCCGAAATGGTCCGTGACTCCCCAAGTGGTGTAGAGGAAGAGGGGACATCAGGATCTCCGGGTGCTGCACAAGGGCACAGAAGTGTGATGCAGGTGGGGCACCAGCAGGGGATGGCAGCAGGGCTGGTTCCAGCAGGGGAAGGTCCTCACCATCTCTAGGTGGGAACCTCTTCCTCCAGGTTCAGCCACACGGCTTCCACCTCCCCAGGCAGGAGCTCGGGGCCTGAAGTCACCCACATGAGCTCCAGTCGCAGGGACACGCGCCAGAGGGAGACACGCCCCTCGCCCGGCATTCGCAATGGCACTCCCACAGCGCCGCCGGCCCAGCCAGGTTTATTGGTCACCCAGCCCCAGCACAGATTGGCCTCGGGGAGCGCAGAAAAGGGACAGGTTCAGCCCGGCCCGATGGGGTCCCTTGCTCTGGCTGGCCCCTTCTGTCACCTGGCTCCATGGTGGGCCCCCCCAGCCGGTTCCCTGAGGAGGGAGCGAGCAGCCATCCACAGTTGCTCCCTGCTAGGTGGCCATGTCCCCATGACTGGGCTGGCCGTTGCCACCTGGCGGAGGGCTGAGACAGCCAGGCGCCAGTCCCATCCAAGAACGAGTCGG